GTCTCTTCCCCCTCTCCCCCTTACTAAGACAGAAAACAGGCTTAAGTGCTGAGAATGCCCCCAAGACAGACACATACGTCACTGCTGTAGGACATCATGAGCCTGTGGCATTCACTGCCACAGTGGCTGGATGGATAGGAAGAGTGAGAAAGAAACAAGATGTTCCCATGGGTAAGGATAATCACAGTTCCTCAAACTACACAAAACCATATAAAACACAGAATTCTCTCGGGCACCAGAGAATAAACCAACCACTAAAAGCTGATAAAATGTCCCTTTTCTGAGCTAGTTTCTTGTCCCTTCCTTTGAAGCAGCTGCTCAGGAAACTGCATAAGAAGCTGTTCACATCTGGCACTGCCCATATCGCTGTGTGTGAGACCCCTGCCATCTCAGTGACTGTCGTCACTGCACTTGTTCCCCTCACATTTCCCTGTCTGGATTCCATTCACTGTCTGTCTTGTATCTGGGAGTAAGCAGCCTTCGGCTTGTAACAAACTTGGGATCCACCCTGTACCTTCACTACATTCATAAAGCAAGCCCATAATCTAGTCAAGCAAGAAAGAATTCAGCTTCATAGAAATAATCCCCCAAACTCCTATTACTAGCTACATTAATGTAGCTACATTAATTTTAGAAGAAAAATTAGGTCCAAAGCACTGGGCTCATTTTAGTAAAGATTCACGGTCACAATTTAATCCCTTGACGAGGAAGAATCAGCTTTTGAGCACATCAGACTCATTACAAACTCCTCACAAAGTCATCAGAGTCCGACAAGTGGTGGCAGGGAAAACGGGCTAAAGGTGAATGATTCTGTGTACGAATTAGATTAAACAGAAGTTACTGAACCTGCACTTCCCTTCACTGCCAGCAGCCGCGGCATTTCCAGGAGAGAGATGAAAGCACCCAGCAAAGGAGACAAACAAGAAAACAGCTCTGAAACAGGCATGCTGATAAAAACAACCTGGGGAGGATGGGACTTGAGATAAAAGAGAAAGTGCAGGAGGTTTTGTAGTGACTTCCAAGTGGGGATGAAGTTAGGGAGTGGAGCTGTCATCAGAGTCATCTTTCCTGCGTATGGTTAGGTGTGGAGCAGTGTAACTTTCTTCTGCAAGTGTCTCGGCTGTTGTGCTTTCCTAATGCAGCCAGCAATGCAGCTGCGAGCCCCAGGAAAGTCCCAGAAATCTGACACTGCTCCTCAGTGACTGTTTCCCTCTTTCCACATTTTCTTTAGCTCTTTCTGTCCCATTATTTTGGCTCTGGGCAAGGCAATGGGATTACACAGAAGATCTGTGGAGACTTTGTCCTTCTTTAGCATTCTTATTGGTGTTGATAAATTGAGCAGGAGGAGGCAGAGGCATCTGGATGTTTCATCATCACCTTGATCTGATACAGCCATAGTGGTATCACAGGAGCATGTGGAGTCGAAGTCTCAGCCAGTGCTGGAGGCTGTGCAGACACACTAAAAAAAGACAAGTCTCAGACCCCAAATATTCTGTGGGGCAGAATACTTAACACTTAGTGCTATTCTCCAGGGAGATATTGTTTTGCTAGACATTTTCTGCACCCTTGTAACATTTGGCATAAGGACAGAGGAGCATGAATAGTTTATGTCTCAAGAACTACAGAACTTGTCCCTGAGGATTGCCTCCGCGGGTAGCCTTGCCCACATGGCAGAGGAAGCTGGGTTTTGTCTAGACTCATAGCTCCCCTCCCCAGAGCAGTGCTTCTGCAGAGACCTCAGTTCCTGTATAAGTGTGCAGGGAACAACCAGATGAGGGGAAGATGCAGATTATTACATCCTGATGCCTCCTACACTTTGCAAAGCACCCACCTTGGAGAAGCAGGGACAGAGTTTCAAGGCAGCTCAGGGATGAAGATGCTTGCCATGGTGATTTTGACGAAGCCATGTTGGGGAGCTGGAAGGTCCACAATGTTTGGAGGTGGCCTCCCAACATCACCCAAATCTGCTTTACAACCTTTGACGTAAGGTTTTGGAGGACACTAATAATGGGAGCATAATCCCCAAAGGGAGAACAGATGAGCTGGGCTCAGAAGGGTACATGCATTGAACCAGCTCAAACACCCATCTGGGTGGTCATGTGCCACATTGGTCTTAGGCTGCCTCTTTCTGCCTCACTTTTGAGTTTGGGGTCAGGTACTGCTGAGGCCTGGGGACCCCATGGTGTTGATTTACCAGCGAGACCTGGGCACATCCCTTAAACACAGTACTCCTAGGGCCACTGCAGAGTGGGTCTTCTTGAGGAATGAAGCGATTGTCTGATTTCCCCAGGTGTCCCCCAGCATCGGAGCAGCTTTAGATGGCAGAGCTAAAGCTTTCTTTGCCAATCTCACAGTCTCTTAAGAGAGTTATAAAATGCCCCCAGCCATGAGCTGTGGGCATTCAGACCTAGGTAGCTTGAGGAAATGATTCACAGGGTGCGAGGTACAGGGGAGGGGATTTTCAGGGGTGTTTTCCCCTTTCTCTCCACTTCTCTCTTCCCCCTTCTCCACCCTCCCCACTCTCCTGAAAACTGTTTGCCTACAGCTACAGGGCATCGCTTCAGTTCCTGTCTTCATGTGCTCCTCTTTGCTGTGATTCCTCTCTGTCCTCTGTGTGTCTTACAGCTGGCAATGCCTTGTATGTCTTCAGGAAATGTTTCTAAAGGCTTTAGTTTAGTTTGCAATGGGACACGGGGGAAGCACCAGGACTTTGAGGAAATTCTAGCACGGGGGCCCAGCGGCTCACAGCAGTGAAACGTTGTGCACCTGCAGAAAGCTTGCTCAAAACTGCCTTAAACAAACATGTGGTGGCTGTGCCTGGGTCACTGGGTATGGCTAGCCCAGGGCATTGCTAGCCCATCCCTACAGCACCCCAGAGCTGCCCTGGAGAGGAACTGCTTTGAAGAAGTGGGGAGTGTATCAAACAGGTTGTGGTGGGGGATGCTACCTTCTCCACCCTGAGCTCAATAGCTGAGCCCTTGAAGCAGGGAACTGGGACTCAGCTGGACTCAGTGCACCTTCCCGGGCAGGTGCCAAGAGCCCCAGGCTGGTGTAGCAATCCCTGTGAAGCCTGGGAGGCATGTCCCTGTGCAGAGGGTGGCAGGGCAGTAGGGACAGCACAGCCCTGGGGGCAACATCTGCCCAGCACCAGGTTGCGCTGCAGGCACTGCCCTGGGACAGGAACCTCCTGGAGAGGAAAGGGAGCTCTGCCCCTGAGCTGCCTGGGGCAGACCTGCTTGGACACCCAGCCTCCATCAACCCTGGGAGCCCGCACGTGTCTCTAGGGTCCCCGACCCAAACAACTTGTGCACATTTATAGGGCCTGCTTACGCGCATCCATAAGGATCATACCTCCCACGCACTCCGCGATAGGGAATATATCATATGTCCAGAGGGTCCCTAACACTCATACACACCTATAGGGTCTATGTAGCTCTCAACCATCCATAGGGACCATATTCCCTGCACACATCGATCCATAAACTCATGCCCACTTATAGGAACAACACCCAGTGCACACACTGTTAGGGACCACACAAACTGCAAATCTATAGCCATCATAGCCCCTGCATGCCCCCGTAGCCACTGTTGTCCCATCCAGACCTATGGGGACTGTACAGACAGCTGACCCAGGGGGACCACATCCCCTGCCCATCCCTGTGAGGACCACACCCCCATGGACAGGTACAGGGGCCATACACCACACACGCCTATAGGGACCACACCTCTGCCCACCTCTGTAGGGACCGTAACCCCATGCACCGCACCTCGCTCCCACCAGTGGAGACCGCGCCCCCCGCCCACCCCTGCAACCCTCCACGCTCCTACAGGGACCCGTCCCACGCCCACCGCCGGGACCCAGACCGCGCAGCCCGAGCC